AAACGTAAGTAGCAAGCCAAAGCTCTTCAACGTGGTTGTTAAACCTAGACTCTTGAGGAGGCCTCCTTGGATTTCAGTTCCCAGCTCCAAACACCTTTTAAAAATATATTCTTATTAGTTTCAGGGAGGAAGGAAGAGGGAGAGAAAGATAGAAACATCAGTGATGAGAGAAAATCACTGATTGGCTGGCTCCTGCATGCTCCCCACTGGGGATTGAACCCACATCCTGGGCATGTGCCCTTGATTGGAATGGAATCTGGGGTCCTTGAGTCTGCAGGTAAACACTCTATCCATTGAGCAAAACCGGCTAGGGCTTAATCTCTTAAAGCTTCAATTTCCTCATCTATGTAAAAGTAGGTGATAATAGTTCCTATGCATAAGATGATGTAGAGGTTAAATGAGATAACACATTTCAAAACATTTAGCACAGTGCTGGTCACATGCTAAGCACTCAAGACATGTTAGTTATTATTTAATAATTTTATATATCCTCAATAAAGGACTCAGTTAAAAAAAAACTGGGCATGGAACTGACCTTCATTCCTAAATATCATATGCGAGAAATGCACAGAGAATTCAGTGTTCTAATCTATACTAGAGTAGAATAAATTCACAGTTAATTAATCAAAATCAAAATAGATATTGCATAACTATGTATAATTTAAGATTCCAAAATAATTGAGTCATTTCTTTATTTTTCATTTATTCAATGAATAGTAGTTCAGAGCATGCTTAGGTAGGTCACTGTGACTTTTTTTTTAATATGTTTTTATTGATTTCAGAGAGGAAGGGAGAGGGAGAGAGAGAGGAAAATCAATGATGAGAGATAATCATTGATCAGCTACCTCCTGCACGACCCCTACTGGGGACTGAGCCTTCAACCCAGGCATGTGCCCTTGACTGGAATTGAACTCGGGACCCTTCAGTCCGCAGGCCGATGCTCTATCCACTGGGCCAAACCAGCTAGGGCACTGTGACTTTTAATTAACAGTGGAACACATATTGAGTTTATTCCCACCTAAAGATGAACAATGCTGATACCAGTAAGTCCCTAATTCATTGCATAGCTTGTTCAATTAGAATTGTTCATTTTCTACAAAGAAGTATAGTAGACATTCAGTAAATCATTCTGTATAAATCGATTTAAATGCCTCAAAGATGAAGGCCCAGGGAATAAGGGGACAGAACTGATATTTCTTTATTTTGATGAATTTGATTTAAAGACAACCTTTCAGTGATCGAAACTAAAAAAGTAACACTTTCTAAAAAAATTGCTTCGTTTAAGATTAAATTTTGAATTGGATTCCTCGATATTTTAAGATACTATAAGGTACTGATGGTGAGGAGGAATGAGAAACCCAGTGGAGTGGGCACAAATATTAACACTGGCCAACGGTACCACGCAAAGGAGTACAGTGCTCCAACTTTTTATATTTAATGAAAATCTATACATTAACTCACAAAAGGGAAGGATAAGATTTAGATTTGTACTGTCCATGGAAAAATAGAGGAACAGGACTTTTTATTTTATTACTATGTGTTTTTCCAAGTAATAGAAGCAAAACTTAAAGTTATACAAGCTTGCTTATCTCTGTTAAAATATTTAGTATTAATTTTGCCTGCCAGCTCTGTGGGGTGGGGCTGGGGCCTCAGAAAAGGAACAGTGGCCTCCGCCAGCACGTATGTCTGGCAGAAAGCTGCCCCGCTCCCCCAGCTCTTGCCATGATGCCAGACAATTCAGCTCTTCCCCGGTGTCCCTGGTGATTTCCAAGCTGCTATCCTAGTGCCAGAGGTCAGAGGGAGGGAGTCAGAATAAGTCTGTGCTCAGGCACTTGAAGACGAATTGCCTGGGCTCCCCCAGCCTTATGTCTCACTCAGCCTCAATTTCTGCTGGAATTTACAGCCAGAAGTTATGGGGGCTTCTCTTCTTGGCTCTGGAACCCTGGCCTGGGAGGCCTGGTATGAGGCTGAGGTCACTCGCTCCTCAGGGGGCACCTCTTGGTTTTTATCCACCACACATGGGTGTGGGACCAGCTGGTTCCATGTCTCCGCCCCTCTTGTCAGTCTCAATGTGGCTGCTTCCTTATGGCCTTAGTTGTACACATCCTTTCAGCTAGATTTCAGGCGGTTCTGAATAATGGCTGTTCAGTAGTTCAGTTGTAGTTATGATATGGTTGTGGGAGGATTCAAGTACCACATTTGCCTACACGGCCACTTTCAAGAACTCTGAACCAAATCTTTTTATGTAAAAACTAAGTCAAGACATTGGAGAGAGATTAGGAAGTTGGAAAACAGCAATATTAATAAATGGCAAAGGTGAGCCTGCAGCGGTTTGATATAGAAGCTGCCACAAAGTAAGAGCTGTGTTTTAGAATGATGATTTTGGCAGCTATGCAAAAAAAAATGGATGAATAGAAGCTGAGACTGAGGTAGGAAAATCAAGACTTTAGCTGTTGCAGCTGGATAGAGTGAGGTAGGGAGACAATCTGGGCTTAATGTGCTGTTAGAAAAGGGAAGAAAGATTAATGACTCACATATTTTAGTTAACAGAGGAGGGGGAGGAAATATACAATTAATTCTAGGTTTTGCCCTAAGTAACTGGATACTGAGAAAAAGAGGAAGACTACGAAGGAGAAGATTTACGTTAGAGCACAAGCTCATATGAAAGTATCTGAGCATTTTAAGACATTAAAGCTACTTAGTATACTGCAAACCTCTGGTAACTGGAACGATTAAAAGAATTTTCCATTTAATATATAAATGTGCAGAGGTTTTCCTAGTTCAGCTTTTCTGCTCACTGAGTATTTTCAGTTTACAATTGGTCATTATGAGTTCATCCATTTATTATCTCCACGAGGTTAGTTAATGGAAGCATTTCATTTTTAATCTAACATTGGCAAAGGAATTTTTAGGAAGTCCTTCAGAGAGACTCTGAAAAGCCAGACTTCAACTTTAATTTTCTGAGTACTTTTTCTGCTTAAAGTTATTGAAACAAAGTATCATTGCTTAGAAAAATAGCAAGCACTGCCACTTAAAAATTCAATTCACTATATAACTATTTCAGATCATTTTACCTTGGGGCAGCAATTTGTCTTGCTTGAAATGTATTTTAGCCTAATAGTAGTAGCAAAATGTTAGGATGAGCTACAAACTGTTTTTGGTTTCTACATACCCAGGCACATAAATACTGTTTTGAATTGGACTCAGTCAAATAACAGGTCTAATTTCCCACTGAATTCAAATTGTTTAGATTAATTAAGTGAACTGATTGGCTCTCTGTTATCATGTAGATATCACCCAAGATTGTTATCAAATTAATAGTAAATGAAAGAAAAGCATGGCTTATGGCTCCAGAATAAAATAATAGCTGTCATTATTTAAGGCAGCAGTTCTCAACCTGTGGGTCACGACCCCTTTGGGGGTCAAACGACCCTTTCACAGGGGTCGCCTAAGACCATCGGAAAACACATATAATCACATATTGTTTTTGTGATTAATCACTATGCTTTAATTATGTTCAATTTGTAACAATGAAATTGGGGGTCACCACAACATGAGGAACTGTATTAAAGGGTTGTGGCATTAGGAAGGTTGAGAACCACTGATTTAAGGGATATATTCTCTTGTTCAAAAAAACTTGTATGCAGCATTAACATGCTCTACACAAAATACTACTACAACAGAATGAGAAAGTCCAAGTTACTACTTTATGTATATTACTCATACTAGTAATATTTTAAACATTAGTTAGGATGCCATATAAAATAGAGATTTCACTCTCAGAATTTTATTATAGTTCTCTCAGCCAGCACATAGTATAAGTTTCCATAAAGTTTTTTGTTTTTTTTAACTCATTGAACTCCTCCTCTCCATATTCGAATCCCCTTGCCACCAAGAATTGTGGGTTCTCTTGCCACCATCCCAAACTTCCCTCATTGCCTCTGACTGTCCTGATCCCTGTGAGCAGTGGGACAGTGGACCCACCATCAGCAAGGAAGTTTCATGTTACTGTCTTCAGCCCAACCCAGTGTTCAATAGTAGACTTTTAGAATTCTATGCAAAGCCATTGACAAATTGTCATGTCTGTGGAGATTTCACTTGATTTGGTTAGAGTGATTTTGTAATACTATCTCAGTTACATAAGCAATGGAAACTAAGTCTATTTTTGAAGAAAAGGCCTGAGGCATTTACAACATCACAGAAGTGCTGTAGCGCTTCCCGGTCTCAGACAAAAGACGAGGGTTGTATTTTTAGATGTTTAGCCAGCCATGGACAACAGAAAACCAGGTATGAAGCCAAAGCTCCCGGGGAACTGTGCACCACAAAAGCATCCTGGTAGTACTGCACTGTGGCTCTATGGCCCTGCATGCTACAGCGTCAGTACTCGATGGGACTTATGAAACCCAACATCTGTGGCTTTACAGAAAGTGTTCTACGTAAGGACTAAGAGCCACTTGAGCCTGGTGTAGGAAAGCGGCAGGGGTGGGTGGAATAAAGCTTGGGAAATGTGTTTTTGTGGGGACAGAGCTTTGGGGCAAGTGCAGTTTTATTTCCTGACCTTCAACTCATAATTCTGGAGGAAAATTATGTTTTTCCTGTGGTGACTGTAGCAAGTAACCATCAATAGCAAAGGCAGAAAGTATTCATTTTCTAGTAAAGACATACTTTTTTTTTCAATATGAAAGAAGGATGAATTTCAGACGAATATCATTACAAATAGTTTTATACATAGTAAGCACGATTTGAGGGAAATACTCTTCAAGACAAATGGCAAAGGCTTCCTTTTAAATGAATTCTTTGGTTATTAACAGGTCTTGAGTAACATTAGCTGGTTTCTGCTCTGTGTATCCCTGGAGGACCAGGATAAGATTAATTATCCTGGGTTATAGCTCAAGAACATATTTAATACAATTTACTTTGCTTTTATGTAAACAAATTGAAGATTGAAAATATCTTTAGATCTGAGATAGTATCTGTTATTTACAAAGCTACTACTGACTATGTTGCTTAAACTTTTTATTCTTTTAAAAATAAAAATTCCGATTTTCTTAACAGGAAGCATAAACAAGGCAGAAATACAAACTCTTTGTACATCTTCCCATGAGTCTTGGCATGAGGCTTCTCATTCATTGGCCCACAGATTCCTGAGTTAAATAAAAACATAATGAAACTTAATTAGCATGTCCTGGTTACTCTATAATGGCTTATCATCACTTCAGCAAAGCAAAACTTGCTGGGAAGGGGTGATCCAACTTATTGCCAAAACCAGCAGTTCCTATTCTCACTACTCAGGAGAAAAATGCTGACAAACTATGAAAATTTTTATTCTATCAGTAAAGAAGATAAGCTAATATTAACCAAAAAGATGGAATATGTCAGAATAAAATAGGACAATCCAGAAAAATTGAGACAGGAAAAAAAAATAAGACTACATGAAGAGTTGTAAAAGAAACTAGCCCATGGTGACAAAAGAAAAACACACACATATATGTAGGCAGTACAATAGCTTTACTTTTATATTGGTTCCCTGGTGGGAAAAAATATGTCATTTATTTTTGTATAACTCTGTTTTCTCCCATAATATTGTAAACAAGCAGACCCACGCACATAGTGATTGACTAGGTCTTTAATGAAACTTTTTTAAAGAAGTAGCTGGGTTAGTACACAGCCTAGGACTGTTGGATTTTACCTTTTATTTGGAATAGCATTTAGAAGTAACTTACATTTTTTCTGTACCTGGGGACATTATTTTCTATACCATTGCTATCATCTGATTTCCTGTATTGAAAATAAAGAAGGAAAGTCACTAGATGTTTACACTACATAAAATTAAGTCAGTAACCATCTACATCATGACTATCAGGTTAATGTGAACAGTAAGTACAGACAGAGTTTACCCGTAAAAATGTTTCACTCGAGGGAGAACTGCTTCTCCCTAAGCACGTGTCGGGGCTTGGGTAGATGGCTGTAATGTATGTGTTGTTTTGATGAATGCAAGGTAATAGCCAATCAGGGGCTCAGCCAACATATGAGTTACAGGGGCTGAACTTTGACGAGTTTATTGCACTGAATAGAGGATGAACATGGTTCTTTATCTACCCAGTGTGCATCCGAGCAAGAATACACGTCTGGGCTTCAGATTCTGAAGACCAGGGTGGCTAAACTCTGTAGCAAGGGTGTGCAACGAATCCCCTTCTAGGTCTTTTAGGAAGCTTTGAGCTCATTAAGCCATTAATACCACAGAATACATTCAACCATCAAATCAATTATGTTGAAATCTGGGGGCAAGGACAGTTAGGTGAGATTGTGTGGATTAAATATCTGAGTGGATTAGATGCTGAGTGAGCTCCTCATTGGACTATGTGAATGAGCACTAAACCTAGCCTGTTTGATGTTGCATATTTATACAATTTTAAAAAATCATTTCATCAATACACTGTGAATAACTGGCATCTAAGTGAACATACACATTATACATAAAATTATACATAAAACATATTGATACATAATATTTGTTCTCTGTCAAGAAAAATGTATCTCCTAGCTAAAACATTCTAAAAGAGCATTGGGAAAAGGTAGGTCTAAATGACTTCAAGTGCCCCTGACACTGGTATGAAATCTAAAGCTACTGCTATAACCTAAAGATGAGGAAAATAAAATGCTGTCAGTGATCTCCGTGGAGCAGTATGGGATGGAGAAAATGATGTACAATATCCCAGTTTGCAAAGAGCAGGAAGTTAATGCATTGCACTAGAGACTGAATCAATTTGACATTGCCAAGATATTCTAGAAAAAATACTTTTAACGTATTTTTTTTAATAGGGTAGGCTACATAAGCGAAAATTAAATTATGAAGAATTGGTCGTCGGTTCCATGGGGTTCTGACACCATCCTTTCAGAGTGTCCTATGCCAACCAGAATGTGCTGAGACCCCAGCAGCCTCCTACTGTCACTGCAAGGGAATGGGTGGAAACACTGGGGAGACTGAGCTGGGGAAACCAAAGAGCTGGGCAAGGTTGTAACATTTCAAATATCTGTCATGAATTGTATATGACTTTAAGTATAAGAAAGAGATTCCACACGTGGGAGCCAGAAAGATGCAAAGTGCAAATCAGTATAAGTAAGATGTCCAAGTTCTCTAGAACGAGGGACAATTCATTCTCTCCCAGCCACGAAAGTCTGTGATTCGAAGGCAACACCGTTGTATTCCTATCTGTGGTTATGGGACTCCTGATATAATGATTTTATGCCTTAATTTATAAGCTCATATGGTATTGGTTTATTTTATTTTCCACATGTGAATTGATTAAAGTAACTATTTTGCATAGCATCTACAATATCTGAATGATAGCCGTATACCCTGCCCCATTCTTTAAGAGTGGCTACTGCACTCACACCTCACAGCTCCTATTGACTGATAAACTTTAAAGGCAATTTTTTGTTGGTAACATTTGCTCAGGCCTCCAATTTCTTAGGTTTCTCTTGGCTGCTTTCATCTGGTTTTATTTTCTGGTGCCCAGTCCTTGGCTGTGTTACTGAGATCTTTTTTGAAGTATCGTTGGCATACAATATTATATTAGTCTCAACATAGTGATTCAACATTTACATACCTTGCATTGTGACCACCACAATAAGTCTAGTAGTCATCTATCATCATACAAAATTATTACAATATTGTTGACTACTTTCCCTATGCTGTGCATTACATCCTGTGGCTTATGTATGGACCTAGAAGGTATTATGTTAAGTGAAATAAATCAGACAGAGAAAGACAAATACCATATGATTTCACTTATATGTGGAATCTAAAAAACAAAAAACCAATGAGGAAACAGACTCATAGAGACAGAGAACAAACGGATGGTTGCCAGTGGGGAGGGGGATGGATGAAAATAATGAGGGGAGTAAGAGGTACTAGCTTCCAGTTATAAAACAAAGTTGCTAACGATTTTAATCCCAATCTTGGCCTCCTCCGTCACTGGACTCTACACTCAGTTATCTG